TTTTTTTTTGCTGGCAAAGATAAAACTGTCCGATACAAGTGGAAACTAAATGTCTGACAAACTCCGTTTGCAGCTCCTGCTGACAAGGAGCTGAATATGTTTTTTTCATTCAGTGTCATTAGCTTTGGAATAATTTATAGACTTTATGAGCTGCTGTTGTACCTCATCTGTCCTTTTTTCCCTCATCTCGTTTCCATCCATCCTTATGTTAACACAAGGAGATTCACAACAAAGATTTCTTAGAGAACTGTATTCCAGAGACAAATGTGAATATAATTTTTTTTTTTTCATTTTTAGCTGGTGGGAAGAGCAATGAGACTGCTACCTCGTTTAAAGTAGTTTTGTCCTGAAAACAAACTTTTTTTTCCCAGACATAAAGTAATTCACGAGAAGAGCAGAGTACTGCGACATCACTGCACCCATGCGTGTAGTTCACACAGTTAAGCCCTTTTTCTGTCACTTAACCAAATGTCTGATTGACTTGTATGTATGTATATTTTCTATTTCACTTATTTACTGCCTCTCTTCTTGCCTTCATAGTTATAGATAAAAACAAACAAACACTTTCTTTGGAGCAGTGTAATGATAAAAGCGTCACACGTGCTATAATTATTGCTTGTAAAAAGAAATGATCAAATGTCAGATGTTTCAAAAGTAATTATAGGAGTTTGGGAATGATGCCTAATGCAATTAGGCTTCACAGTTACGACCTCGCTGACATTACTGAACAGCTCCACTGATTTTTACCAAATAATATAACACCTGACTCAGCTGCCCTTGCTCCATCACAGTTTGTTATGAAAATTAGTTTTTATTTTTGCTGCTTTTCCCTACAGATGATGCCACTAAAGAAAAAAAAAAGAAGGGATAAAAAGCAAAAGAGTCTTCAACTTAGAAACGGATATTCAAGGAGAAAACAAAATCTCTTCACATCTTCCAGCAGCGAGTAGCAGAATCCAGTGGGTTGATTTAGAGGCTGTAGAAAAAAAAAAGGCTTTAAGTCCCTGACCAATGATCTGAGTCATCAGCTTTTAAGGGGTGCAGGCCTACAAATGACTGACATGGACAGACTCCAAACTACAAACCGAGGTACAAACCAAGGTAAAATCTCCTTTAAAAGCCTCTGCTGTTGCTCAGAGCCAGAGACAGTCAATGACACCCCAAGAGCAGACAGAAAATTTGTTTCATTCAAAGCTCCTGGAAAGAACAAAGTCTGTATTTAGTGCAGAGGAGCCTGTGCTTACAGTCTGCAAGATATGGTTAAGTCGTTTGTACATTTTTAGGTTGGCCGAAGTAGCTCTGCTGCCCAACTTCAATGCATCGTCGTAATAATGTTCACAAAAAGAGTTGTTGTGGTACTTGTCATACTGTCCAACTTGGTTTTCCAAGTAGAGATGCTTAACAGTGTCTGACGTATTTACTAAACATCAAGCTTAAATGCAACATACACTCATAAATTGTACACACAGCTGGCTCGAGTGCAAAGAAATAACCAACCTGTCTGATGTCTGGAACACATACATTCGGGATGTAGAGATGGGATTATGTGCGAGCTCTTAATAAAAGTTTTTGTAAACAACCCACCCTAACAGGAAGCAAACTGATTACTACTCTGGAACAAAGTGCTGCACACACACAGAAACACACTTTCTAATGCATCGTGCAGCGCCATCTCTTTGGAGCTTGATATTTCATTGTTATTATCACGATAGAGGACAGTAGAAGACACACACACACTGAGCCTGATAGAGAGGAAAAGAAAGACACCGTTACGTGTTACGGTACATGAAAGGGCCTCCTTTATTGACCCACAGTTACCCATTATCATCACTACAGTACACAAAGATGCAAACACCAACACACACTTTCACAAATACGACTGAAGCACAGCAGGATATTATTATAATCCCCAACAGGTAGGAGGCAGAACACCAATCAAGGTCACCTCTAGGGGAGCGAATGGCGAGTGGTTCTGATAACAGCAAACTGAAGTAAGCTTTCTAATTTGCCTACCGATAGGAAGGAGAAGAGGAGCGGAGGGGGAGGACAGCACGAGAGAAACAAAGAGGAATAACATCAAAGATCTAAACCTGTGTGTGTGCATGTGTGGTTTGGGTTGACTGCAGGCAAATTCACCAAGCAAGCTCACATAGAGTATTTTTGGGAAACTCAGCCTGATACTAGTTACGTATTGCTAGTATCAGTTATGTATTGCTAGTATCAGGCTGGACTTATTTTCAGAAATTCACTAATTCTTCATGTTACAGATATAACAAGGTGCTGTAGATTAGTCAGCTGTTTGTGAATCTCCTATTCCAACACATTTTAGAGGTGCTATATTGGATTGAGATGGTGACCGTGGGGGCAATTTGAGTACACTGAACTCATTGTCGCGTTCAAAAACCTTTGAGATGATTCGAGCTTTCTGACATTGTCCGCTATCTTGCCGGAAACAGCCACCAGAAGATGGGTACACCGTGGACAGGTAGGCTTTCTTATTCAAACGATTCTCAGCTAGTCTTCCACTAAGATATTCTCCACACCTGAACATTGAATATTGTGGGATCGAGATGTCCCACACTACTACAAGCCACAGGCAGCCTGTACCATAGACACAAGGCAGGATGGATAGATGCTTTCATGTTATTCATGCCAAATTCTGACCATACGATCTGAATGTTGCAGCAGAAATCCAGACTCAACATTTTTCCAACCTTCTCTTGTACAATTTTGGTGAACCAGTGCGAACTGTAGCGTCGCTTCCTGTTCTTAGCTGACAGGAGTGGCCCCTAGTGTGGTCTTCTGCTGCTTTAACCCACCTCCTTCAAGGCTTCATGTATTTGTGCTCTTCTGCACACCTTGGTTCTAATGAGTGGTTATATTTGAGTTACTGTTGCCTTCCTATTATCTCAAAGCAGCCTGACCTTTCTCTTCTGACCTCTGGCATCAACAACATATTTTCATCCAGAGAACTGCCGTTGCCGTTTTGATCCTAGAGGAGGTTGTGTGGACAAATCCCAGAAGATCAGCATTTTCTGAAGTATTCAGACCAGAAAACCAACATCAATGCCATGTTCAAAATCGCTTAAATCACCTCTCTTCCCTATTCTGATGCTCAGTTTTGATTAGATTTGTTTTCTATTGAAACAGCTACAACCTCAGTCTCTGCTGACATATACCGTTGCTGTCATTTTAGTTGTTGTTTAAATTCTATTTGCCAGATATAGCAGACAGAAAAGCAATTTACCAAAAATGAAAACGTAACATGAGAAAAATGTAAATACATCTCATTTTCATATTACTATAGAAATATATAGATGTGACAATCAAACATTATTTATGGTGAATTCATCGCTCTTCCACCACTCGCTCTACAGGTTAATATACTATAATAAGACACTTTAAGTGCCACTAGAGATTGCATTCAATATGAAACCTGTGATTTACTATCAGTGTGTTTTCCACCCAAGAGCCAATTTATTAAGTATTCATGGATATGAATTGCTCAGTGATTCTCTCCTGGAGAGTGCGTGTCGGTCTCTTGCTCCAACAGCAACTGTGAAATGCACATACACAGTTACACGGTAAATCGCCTAAATAATATATATGTACTATAGTCAATAAATATGATGACACACTGTACAGTTTAATGGAAACTGGACGCCTAAACTATACTATATAACCACACTTATATTTCTAAACAACCTCAATCTTTTAGGGCCCTGTGATAAATGATCACCAGCACAAAAACCGAACAATAAGCCAGCCTGAAGCAAGTATGCTTAAATAATAAGTACGGCTCCACTGAATAATGACTGTCTGTCTTTGTGTACACTTCAGGCTACAAAACTGTGATGAAAACGTTAAAGAAAGTCAAAAAACTATTGCACCAGCAGCAGTTACAGTGTTTCAAATCTGACACCGTTCATGTCTTCACATTACCGCGCTCGTCTTTCTTACACGAGCACACACGGAAAACTGAATTGCAACAATCAATTATTCTATAGCCAGAGATTTCCAGCTGAATTCACTGTTATGGGAAAGAAATCAGCAGACAGGGGACAGTTGCTATGCAAGTATACGCTCAATAAAGAAAACAAATGCATCCCTGTCTTCTTTTACATTGCATAGGAAGAAGGTTGAACCATTACGCATTTTAATATGAGGACATCCATGCTGCCAGCTGAAAGAACATCTCGGTTTTAAGAATAAACACGCATAAATCCAGACATCTTGCATGGGAGCGGGAACTCAAGTTAGCAGGCAGCCACACAGACACAGGCGAACATTGTTGGTCACTTGCCTAACTTTAGGAGTTATGCTGAAATAATAATAATAAATAAATAAATTCCCCCAAAAAAATCACAGCCACAAATGATTTGCCAGTCAGGCAAAGATGATTTTGGCATCTCATCTCAAAAAATTTCACTGTTAACCTGTTGGATAAAAACTCTTCATGCAGGGAAACACGGACAGACACGCTGACTCATACTTTTTTGGCCTTCTGATCTATGTAACTGCCCCGGTGGCTGTTTATCCTTCATCCAAACATCGCTATGGAAACTGACTGGGAGACTCTTTAAGCAGAGTCCAATTCATCAGCGTGAGTCGTTTTATTTATATGTTTCATGTGAGGACAACTTTGCATATCGTCTCATCTCCTGGAAACAGTACATTTGTCCTACCTCCAGAGATCTCGTTGGCGTTCCTCGGAGGAGCAGCTGAATCGGTGAACCTCTGGGACTCAGTCTTGTCACTCTCATTTCTTTCACCTGCAGAAAATAACGAATTCATAATTTTAAATTATATTAAAAACAGTTATTTCAGAAAGTTTCTTTCTATCTGGGTCTCCTTCATTATAGTGTAATAAAATATCCCGAACCAAGTAGTACATTACTCGAGAATAGTCACAGGCGAGGACACAGCAGAGGAAAAAACAGAGTGTAACGCAACAGATCAAAGCTGAGTAACAATAAGAGAAAGGGCTACATGCGGAGGAGGAAGAGGGTGAGGAAAGACGATGAGAGGTAATACGCAGAAAAGAGGAAAGGAAATGAGAGGAGGGGAAAGAGAAGAAGTCGAGACAGGATAAAAGTAGAGAAAACTGAAATGATGGATAAGAAGATGAAATAGGAGTGAGTTGCATAACAGAGTAAGGTTTAGCAGAGGGTAGGAAAAACACTAAGAGGAGACTAGTCATCAGGAGAAAGGCAAAAAAAATTTGGGAGAATATAAAGCAGGAGTACAAGATGAACCAACCTTTAAATCTGCCCTGAAGTGGTCTGCTCTGCTTGTTGCCGCTGACTGCGATAACACTGAAAGTGTAGACTTTAGAAGGACTGTAGTCTGTTATCAACACGCTGGTGTCTGATTTAGATACTATGATCTCCCTCTGCTGACCACCTGACAGAGAAAGGGAAGAAGACAAAGAAGTGGAGTGGTGAGTGTTCGACTCAGGGACTTTAATTCATGTATTTGAGTCTCTGGTAGACAAACATCAGTACTCTAAGTGCCAGATTGGCAAATTTGGCGATCCCTGAATCCCACTCATGGGTGAATTGCAAGTTTTAAGTTGTGTAGTTTTCTAAGCACAGATGTTGTTGGTTCATTTGAATATCAAGCGAAAAAATAAAGAACATGTTTTTGATGCATTAAATATCAGGACAATAAGCAATAAGTTGTGTCTCACAAACATTAGTAAATTGGTTTGTGTGCTATTCTCCTCCCTCCACAATATTTTGCACCTTTAGAAAGGAACTCGCAGAAATACATATGAAACCGGGTCAGTCCCAGACATTCCCGAGTTCCCACCTCTTACACACATTCTTGTCGCTTTGCTCTCTTTGTAAATAGCAGCAGCAGTTTGTTTGCACTGGTGCAACACTTTAGTGCATGTAGCCATAAGACACCAGCAGATGAAGCACAGTTACTGACTAATACTCCGCTCTAACACTGAAGGCAGGATAAAATAAACCCTTGTGTGGTGTTCATATTTTTGTTACTCAGCCAGTGTTCATGGGTCTGGTGGACCCGCTAGAGTTTTGGCTTTCCAAATTAACACTATCAAACAATTTTATGTTAAATTACTCAACAGATGTTTACTTCATCCCAATTACAAGACATATGAACAGCAAACATGGTTAATTTTTTCCCTTTACCTTTGTTAGATCACATTTATGAATTAATGTGCTTCTCGTTTTTCTTTTATATAAAATGTTATAAATAAATCAGTTATAATCAAGTGGAGTGAGTGGAAAGACACAACACATCGTGAAAAAATAATTAATTGTTTAATTTTTCTTTTGAAAAAAACTGAACACGGGTCTCACAGACCCGAACACCATACAAGGGTTAAGCACTAAATCTTTATTGCCCAGTAAAAATAGAACAGCAACCTCTTTGTGACTAGTTGCCCAATTTTTGCAATTCCCCCCCAATTTTTTCACATTGTGATTTTAATTAGTTGGTCGTTGGTGAAGTTTTGCAGGTAACTGGCATTTAATTTATAAATCCACACTGATTGAAGTCTGAAGTAAGTCTGAACCTTGTGAATTTCTGTTTAATGTTTATTTCTGTGTATATAGACTGCAGATTTCCAGCAGAAGAAAAATCCACTCCGATTTTCACCAGCTCGTCACAGTTGAATTAACTTTATATCAAAATGATTGATACATCTTCAGAGTAACCATTTCAAAAAAACCAACAAGATCGTATATTCATTGCACAAAGCCGTGCTGCGGTCTCTGACCTCTGTTCTTCCCAGTGTGACTGTGGCATAAGTTCTGTTTTGTTTTTAATTTCGTCGCTACGGTTAGTGTTCTCGACACAGAATCAAGGTTTGAGTTAGTTTCAGATGCCCCAGAAATAAAGAGTTGATCCTCACAGTCCGCTGTGTGTGTGTGTGTGTGTGTGTGTGTGTGTGTGTGTGTGTGTGTGTGTGTGTGTGTGTGTGTGTGTGCGCGCACATGTCCTCTCCTCAGCCGTTAATCCTCATCAGGCCAACAGGTCGTATTATCTCCTCACATTAATTTTGACCCAGCAATCAATCAGCCATCAGTAAGGTGTGTGTGTGTGTGTGTGTGTGTGTGTGTGTGTGTGTGTGTGTGTGTGTGTGTGTGTGTGTGTGTGAGAGAGAGAGAGAGAGAGAGAGAGAGAGAGAGAAGGAGTACGTGTCTGTGTATGCACTTCCTCAGCTCTTCTGTCGCCCGTCCCTGCGGGGTGCTGACTAATGACACCTCTGGGAAAAAGGAGATAAATCCTTCTGAAGGCAACTGAAGATCAGGTGAGGCAACTGCATTGATCAACTCCACAAACTGGAGGCTCGGCCCGTGCACGCGAACCAAACTACTATTAATCAACCAAACAAAAGGGCTCAAATCTAAGGCTTTGACTTGGTCTATATATGAAAACTGACTGTTCATGTCTTATTTTTCTCAGAGCCTCCTCCTAAAGTTTCTTTTTAGTCCTTCGCCTTCAAAGATCACCTCAATGACTGACTTATTAAATGGGAACAGCGATGGATCAAAGAGCCTCTTCAGTTTAGCATCTCAGTAACCCCAGCAATCAAAACATCTTCATTTTTATTTTTACAAAAAGACAATAACCCTACTAACTGTCATCTTATTAGGCATTACAAGTTGCAGCTATTTCTGTCATTGATCCCGGGCTTCATACACATGCAGCATCTCTGTGGATTAGTTACAGCACACATCCCCTCCATAAAACCATACATTCTCATTTTTAGATTTCTTCTTGTAACCCAGTGAGACAGATCATCCCACGTAGTGAGTTTTAGAGAAGAATGTTAGACTGAGCCAGGCTAACAGTTTGGACCTGCTTTCAGTTTTTATGTTCAGGCCCTGGATCAATTCTCAGTGCCCGAGTGATATTGATCCTTCAATTTAATGCTCTTATGCAAAGTAAAAAGGTGTTTTTCTCCAAAATGTTGAATTAATCGTTTAAAGTCATTGCAAGTCTCACAAATTCTCACAGCACAAAGTGATTTGTTTGAAGCGAAGTACATCAGCCGTGGAAAACTCATTAAAATCATCATCTATCATTATCGAGTGTAATTAAGCAGATTTTTGAAGATTATGGCAAAGAAATTGTGCTTTATGTTACTTTCTAAACATTCAGCGTTAGAAAGTTGGCTAGGAGCTCATGGTAATCTACTTAACATAAGTACTGGTACAACCATCAGGCAGCACACACACTGCTGCAGTCTTTCTTGGCCAACAAAATCCTTTTAAAGTGACAAAAATGTGCAGAAAGAGTACATCCCAAAAAGGGACCATAAAACACAAAGTAAAACACAGAGGGATTAAATAAAAAAAAATCATAAACAAAGAGGTAATAAAATGGTTTCGATAGTTTAGGTTGCGCTCTTCTGTCTCTGCCTGTTATCTCTAAGTTAAACTGCATTTGAATGTTATTTAAGCTTTACTTGCATATATCTTTCTAGTTTGTTCCGTGAAATTTATTTTTAGATAGATGTTTGCAGTGGCGGTCCTAGCCTGTTTGGTGCCCTGGGCGAACACTCCCTCTGGACACACACACACACACACACACACACAAAACATATTAAGGATTGTACATTAACATAAAACTGTTGCCAGAATCATACTGAAATTCACCAGAGAAACATACACACACACATATGAAGAGAGAGTATGCCTAGTATGCAAACGGCTACCGGACAGCCATCATAATTCATCATATAATGAGAACAGGACAAATCAACAATTGACACTGACTAATTAATATTACAATCTGTAACATAATGTATTGTTTGGAGTTTAGTCTGTTACTGTTACTATTTTTACCATTTCTTCTTGGAGCAACTGTAACCCACATTATTTCCTTAGGGATTAATAAAGTATTCTGATTCTGATTGTTTCAGGATGACCTGCTATTATCCAATGACACATCTGCTTACCTGTATCTTTTGCTCGTTTCTCCTCCTCCTCTTTTCTCTTTTTTCTAAACTGAGCACCTGATGGCTTTGAACTTTTCTTGTCCATCTTGGTTTTAATTTTGCACTCCAGTATGAACACCCATCCCCCAACCCGAGGATCATAACCTAATAGACCTACACCTTATTTCACAGATTCGCTTTGTCTAAGGTTTATTTCTGGGATTTCACACAACCCAGGATTCAAATCATGAATACATAATGGGCTTGGATTTACAACATTATGAATGAAATGTGCTCTATTTGGAAGCAGCAGGTCTCTCTCCCCTTTCGACAGGCTGTGTGTGAGACTTTAAATCAGCAAACTGTAAATTATAAATGTTAAATTGTTATTGATCCCTTTACCCCTGGTCCGAAAGTGTATATATATTTTCTTATTCTTCTTATATTTATTGTTTGTTTACTTGCACTGTTGTAACTGGAGCCTCGTTCTCTCATCTCTCTAGATACTGCACTGTATGTAGCGGAGATGACAATAAAGTTTGCTTTGTCTTCAGCAGCGAGCAGGCGCACCGAGGGCTCTCGCGCTCACTTTTCACATATAGAATTTCAAAAAAACATCTGTGCAAATTATAAGTCTGTATCATAATCTCTGGTGTTTACGTGTTTACGTGTTTGTTGTTTTGTTTTTATTTTATTTTATTTTGCGAGTTGGTTATTAGATGCCGCTCCAGCCAGCCAGAGAATCCCCCGCCACCCCACCCTCTCCTCCCTGTGCCGCAAGCAGCAGGCCATTTCGCAAACGGAGGGCGTCCTTACTCCCAGCAAATGGGCAATAGAAAATCGACTGGTGCTCTGGTCGTTAGTGTGCTGCATTACTGCACATTTTGTTTTTGACCTGATACCAAGTAATCAATTACCAAATAATCAGGATTGAAACTGGTTGTCCCACCTCTACTAAACATCAGAAAGGGGGATGTGAGAGTATGCTCACAGGCTAATAACTTCTGATTGATAGGTAATAGGTAACCACATGGTCAGAGAACATGTGCTTTCACCGACGGCTTGGGCTTTTGCTCATCACATCTGGTCTCAGAACAGTAAGGTTGTTGTTTCATGATGTGAAAATGCTCATACCGAGGTTTCAAAACGGGAGCTCACAATCCACTGTTTGACCAATGGGGTCATCAGCTTGTATACAGACCCAAACTTTTGTTTCTTGTTGCATGTTGAAGCTCTACTTGGAACCTTGTTAAGATCCAACCATGTAAAATATGATTTCTTTTTGCCATTTTTCAAGTGGCCTTAAACTTTTGATCGGGACTGTACTATGACTACACTCCAGGACCCGCTCATCTACAGAAACTGCGAGCTGCCTCTTTTAGTTAATTCTTTCTGTCCTGAGCTGAGTCCTGCAGCTTATTACGACAATATCAAATGTCTAAACTCAGAAAAGGAGTTTGTAAAATTTTAAAAAGCATAATTAGCTCATTTTGAATTTGATGGCAGGAATACACCCCATGGCCCAATCCCAACACTAGAAAAGTTGGTACAGGGCCATGTTTACAACTGTATCGTATCCTGTCTTCCTTTAAGAAAAGTCAGTGAAATCCTGGGAAGTGAAGAGCGCAGCTGCTAGACTTTTGGGGGAGTAAAAATGCCCCGTTCTTGTCCTATATAAGATTCCAGCTGCTCAACAGTCCTGGGTCTTCCTTGTTGTTGTTGGGTTTTTTTTGGTTTCATGATGCACCAAATGTTTTTATTTAAAGGTCTTGACTGCAGGTAGGCCAGTTCAGCACCCTGACTCTTCTACCATGAAGCCATGCTGTTGTAATAGATGTAGTTGGTGGTTTAGCATTGTCTTGCTGAAATATGCAAGGTGTTTCCTGAAAAAAAGACATCAGCTGGACAGGAGTATATGCTGTTGTTTTACATTGAGGGACATTACTCTGAAATTGTTTAAGAATTTGTAGAAGCACCTTTTGCAGCTGGGTAGGCTACCTGTATTTTTTGTACCACTTCAAAGGGCTAATTTAAACTCGTTTACTCAAATAAGAATGTGATTAAAATATGAATGTGTACACATGTGAAGACGATTACACTTTTTTTACTATTATGAGATCTGTATCGTAAGTGAATACCAGTGATTTCCACCACTACTTGTATTATTTGGTGCTCAAAAAGCAAACAAGCAAACCTTCCAGTAATCACATTATGTACCAATGCATGAATATTACAAAAACTCAGCTTTTTTTCATCTGGGTCTGGCTTCATGTCCGCTGAGATTTAAAAGATTAAATATGGACATCTGGGTCTAATAACTATCACACGAGTATGTGTATGTACAAACAGAAAAAAGGCAGGCTATTCAACAGATATCCAGGAAATACCAGCTGACTGACAAAGAAGCAGGGTAAAGGTAAAAGTAGAACATTTTAAACAATTTGTAGTGCCATAAAAATGGTTTAAATTACAGGAGAACATATGCATTAAGGAAAAAATATTAATTTTGTAGGTAAAAGTAAATCATCTGGTTTTATTCTTCACACAAAGTTCAGCTCATTTGATTCAGAGAACAAAGAGAGTGGACATCAGGAACATGGCAGCTGCTGTGGCTTTCATGGCTATTTTTCAACTGACAAAGGCTTTATCCATCATATACATTTTTTTTATTTCCTACTGAATTTGTTAAATGCCAGTGAGCTACTATTGCACTCCTCCCTTCAAGAAAAGTGACCATAAATTTGAGTTTTAGTTCTATTGTTGGAAGCGGCAAAAAAAATTTCAGACGAGGCATTTTTCAAAAAGTATTGTTTGCAAGAAACAGGTTTTATGCTATAGAGTGCTTATTCAGTCCTTCTTATTCACTTCTACATCAGCTGCAGAAGAATTGCCTGCTGTATTCAGCACAATATCAATAAAGAGGGAAGTGATGTGAAGGAGGATTTATGGCTGTAAACGTAGGTGCACATCAGCGGTAATTCAAGTGATTTCTATTAGACTTCTATTACACTGTGCATACTCAAAAAGAGACAAAAGTATAGCCACTGTCTGTGACAGGCACCTCATGACAAGCATCAAATAAAAGTGAAAATTCCACGTGTCCATTATGGCTGTAACTGCTTTCAGTGAGTTTCAGTTTAACACTGAAAAATGACTCCTGTGCTGACATTTGGCTGTCCTGGGCTAAACCTCTCCATCATGTCCTGTGTACCTATCAGCCCCATTTTCAAAATGTGCTGACAGGCTGCACATACGCAGCAGAAACTCTCCCTTGTCTCAAACTTGGCCGAGGTACAAGACAAACTCTGAGTCCTCTATATCTCTCAAGAGTGTAATCCCTTCAAAGGAGCTTTGATAAGAAGTAAATTACATAATCCTTCCTGACAGACAGAAAATCCAAGTCATAATGGGATCCTTCCTCCAAAATTTCAAAGTTAAGCTCCGCTTCTTTTTGGCATAGAGGTGCGCGTGCATGTGCTTTTGTGCATGAGTGTGTGCAGTAAAAAAAAAAAAAAAAAAAATCCTACCTGGGGTACTTTTGTAGAAAAACAGATAGCTGTCAAAGTCTCCTTTGGGCTCCTTCCATGAAACCAGGAGTTTGCTTGAGCTCAGCACTTTGAAACGCAGCTTCCTCGGAGCTGGAACTGAAAAACAATTTTACAGTTAAATTGGCTCCAAAGAAGTTTGGGAATTATTAAAAAGGAAACAAACAAAAAAACATGTTAAATTAATGAAAAATGTCTTAAATATCAGTCAACATAAATAGAAAAAAAATATGTGAGCAGTTAAATCCAGAATGGCCAACAAAAAGCTGCAAATCGATGCGACTTTGACAGGAAATAAATGAATGAATGGTTGCATGGAAGGATACAGAGAGGGCTGAAGGTCCTACATCCATGAGAGCCACATAAGGCAGAGTATAAAAGAGGAAAAAAAATAGAGGAATGTCTTCTTATGATCAATTTATGTTAAACACCACTCCAGAGACAAGAAACAGCGCAAAAAAAATTATTTTGCAAATATATGTGTCACTTATCTAATCTATAGTGTATACATAAAGGAGAAGTGATTGGTGTACAGTGGCATTTTCATCGTATCCCTTGCAGCCCTCTGTCAATGAAAACAGATGCTCTGTGGCCTGTTAAAAATGGTGACAGCAGCCTTTCTGTCCCAGTTTGCCGAGGCAAACTGTGTGGAGTGTGAAGAGTGGACCCAGGTGCAGACATCTAAAACTCAAACTTACTGATGATGAGCCGTTTATTAAGGCAGAACAGTACAAATAAAAAATAAAAGAGCAAAAACAATGCAAACTAAGCAATAACCTAAACTGGGTAAACTAGAAAGGAAACACAAACTATGAAAAACCCTGGCAAACAGAAAAACAAACAAACAAAACTCTAAACATGGCAATGATGATGAGGATATATAGGAATGAGTAGGAATCCGACTAATTCACTTTAGTTGAAAATGGATGTAATTTTTATGCCTCGTTTCACCCTTTTGGTATATTATTCTTTGCTAGTGTTAATACAAAAGATGTAAGCCCAGCACACGCGTTTTTGTCACGCTTCCTTGAGAAGTGGATCCATTTTTCAGTCAATAAATTATGTCTTTTAAAAAAGGCAGTTTGTTGGGAAAAGGAAACAACTGAAACTTTAACAATGACAAATATATGAACAAAAAGGTGCTGAATGAAAACAGTATGAAATCATAAAGTTCCACCCATGAAAGTCAAATTGCGCTTGGCCGGTGTCCCGTTATAGGTAGTCTTTAGATCACTCCGTGGAAGCTCTGATCTGCACTTGTGCAGTTCATTCTGGAGTCAAGAAGCTGAATTTCACTTTGGAGAAGAGAGTAATGTTGCAGGGGGCCAGATCTACAAGTTAGCAGAACTATGCATCAACAGTTTGACCCCAGGAAGGACAAATTTGTAATGCACATCACAGGGAATGTCAAAAACATGACTATCATCCTCTTGGTCATACTCCCAACCTAATGCACGGCTTTTGGGCTTTGGAAACTCCTCGTCTAAAAACAGCTCTTTGGCAGAACCCCAGCTCCCATCCTGACTGAAAACTGGGCCTATTTAGAACATAAGTATTGTGTGAAGAGCAAACATATATCCAGGGGCATACATGAAAGACGAACTTAAACGGCAACACGTTGGAGCGGTCCAGAGGTGCAAAAGGGGGCATCCTTAAGGGGGCATCACATTTGCCTGAATTTTAGGCAAATAGCAAGGTCTTTGCTTTTTCACATCTAGTAATTAATAGGATCATGTGAATTTTTCACATGAACAAGTTTTGAATCAAGAAACTGTTGAGAAAGCCTGAAAGTTTTTTACCACTGGAAGAAAAAGAGCTTTACATAAAATGTTACATGTCAAAGTATCCCTTCAAGCAGTAATAACGCTTGAATGGCTTCATATTTTAACTGCACACCCAAATAATCTTTCAGTCTACAGGGACTGTAGCCTATAATAAGTCACAATAGTGAGTGTGAACATGTGAAGAGCTTGCATTAGGCATGAAGGAGAAAGTCAAAAGCAGGGGATAATGCACTGACAAATCTGAGACATGCTGTTCAGGATTTCCACTCAGAGGTGAGGACAGACTTCCAACCGTCTAAATGGAAAATCCCATTAACGCCATTACAAAAAAGGCACTGTATCATATAAATTGATGTTATAATAAAGGTGACAACATCAGACCCGCGGTGCTCAGCTTGGTTAATGGCCTCATGTTGAAATGTCTTGACGTTCTGTGTAATCTTCAGTCGCGCACCATGAAATTTCTATACACCCGTGCATCTTCTTGAAGTAAACACTTTCCTCTTAAAGTCCAACTCATCAAAACCAACATCAGCCCTCCCTTCCAAACAACTTTAAAATGTTAGTCATGGCATTACCTCACAAATGTAAAATCAAGCCTCGACTTTTAGAGAAGCCAAAAAAGAAACAGAAACCAGTCTCAAACAAGGACGACTTCTCGAACTTGTCATCGGGAGATCTTCTGATGCAGCGCGATTGTTCTGCAACACATCACAGTCTCACCTTTTTTGTGCTGCTTTTCTTAAATCTCACCACCCATCCTCAGAATGCATGGGATGGAAGTGTGTAATTACACAACACAATGAGAATCTATGAATAATTTAAGCGAGTGATAGAGCTGAGTAGGTTATGACTTTGGTATTGTTTAGTGCGCCTGATAGTAGGTGAAATGAGTTGGCAGACAGGGGTACTAATAATGTGGTGACAATTGCGTTGAATGTCTGGATTTTTGCTTGGCATGTCAATGAAAACGCATACACACAGTGAATAATAAAAAATAAGACAATGTAAAATCTAAATGATCCAACTGTAACCCTTCAGAATGATTGTCAAGATCTTTAAGTAGGAGGCAATACCAGAGACAGCAACCATGATTAATGAATATGGACACAAATGCTGTGGATGCTGACAGGATACAGAGTTCTCTGATATAAATTACCCTTCAAAAAACCGACACGCCTGTTCTTGTTTATCCCCGTACAGCTGTAAATATCATCCAAGAGCTCCACATTCTGCACTGCCTCTCTAAATCTAAGATGCTTTCGTGGAACACATTACACATCCACGCTCTGTATCTCACAATAAAATACTCTGCGGAAATACTAGACCTGCCCTGGACTTGCACAGTGCATACCCATCTATAACACAATGGTGTATTACGCAGCCCAGAGTAATTTATCTGAAAGAGTTACACCACTGGAATTAGCCAGCCCCCAACAGCTACTCGCAGGAGCTTTTTGGCAGGTAGTAAATGCTCCTCCAAACCTTTGGCAAAAGCTTCACGACTTCTGCATAGCAACAAAATTTTGCTTCGGTAAATAGTCTGAATCACTGAGGCCTCAATGAAAACCCCCCCAGTGTGAAAATGATACCCGCTTTGAAGAAACAATATTTAACATGTTCTCCTCGTGCCGTTGAACCTTAATTCACAAGTTCCAATTTCAAGGTTGAACTTGAGTAATCTCCCGACTCGGTGGGAAGCCTGGACTAGAAAAATCTTTTAACTGGAGGCCCAGTATGAACTGGCATTATCTGTGTTCCAGCGATACAAGCACAGCTTGATGCCTCAGTTTCAGAAGAGATGACTCTTCCCAGGATTAGGAGTGCTGAAAGCTAGCAGGGATTCCTGGTAGATGAGTAAATGCTTGCTGTCCAATCCTCTGCTTCACTTCATCTTCTCACTCAGCTCTTGTCTCCGTTTCAAACTTCCTCTGCTTTTCTTCCCATCTTCTGATTTGGCTCACCGTCCACTCTGTGTTGGCTTAATTTCATCCAGCTTCTCTCCTGTGCTCTCTCTTCCCTTCTCTCTTCCGTGCTCAACAATCTCTCTATCCGACTTCCATTCATCTCTCTTTTCTTTATGCTCTGTTTCATCTCATGTCTTTCCTTTGTCTTCTCTGAGATTTCTGCTTTTTGTCAATCTCTATTTTCATTGCCAACCATCCCCTTTCCCTCCATCTCTGTCTCCTCTTTACCCCCTCTTAGCCTCTCATTTCTTTAATTTTCTCATCATTTTTGTCCCTATCCATTTCTTTTCCTTTCTTTGTCCCCTACTTTCCACTTTTACCCTCTTCTTAAGTTGACAGTACCTTGTTACTTCCTCTCTCTTTCTTTCTTTCCCTTTTATCTTCATTCCTGGACTCTCTTTAAGTTTAGTCTTCCTTCTTTTAAGTTGCTGCTTTCCTTTTTACAGAAAACCTATAGGCTCCACTTTGAGTGTTCAGGCCTTCACTACTCAGGATTTATGTACGACAACTGTTGGCTTGCGATGTCACCATAAGATAGCTACTGTGCTGTACATGAGAGAGATCAGGGGAAGTGTAGGAGTGTGTGTGTGTGTGTGTGTGTGTGTGTGTGTGTGTGTGTGTGTGTGTGTGTGTGTCTATTCAGCACCACAGCATGCATCCTTCAATGTGGTCGGCGTCTCGTTTTGCACGTAAACTACTCTGTTCACTGATGTAACACTTAACCCAAAATCACTGTGGCTCCTTTTTTTAAAAAAAAGTTTCATCACACCTTCTCTTCTTATCCTCCAGTTTAACATCCTTGTACCTCTCCTCTTCACTTATATTCTGCTCTTTTATGAAGTTATTTAAGCATGTTTGCTCGTTTCCCCCTCCTTTATGAGCGTTTTAGCAACTCACACCCCTTCTTTCTCTCTTTGCTTACCTGTGTAATGGATGCCTTTTTGCTTCATGCCTCATCTCTCTACTGCATTGTGTGTGTGTGTGTGTGTGTATGAGAGAGAGACAGAGTGTAAAATCTCTCTTTAAGTCGGTTGAATATTAAGAGTCTGTTGAAAAATCTGTCCCCATGTGCAGTCTGGTGAAAGAAGCCATAATATTCCACATACTTGCCAACCATCTGTGAAAAAAATATCACCATGAAATACTCAGTCGGGTAAATTCTGCAGCAGATGACTGACATTAAACAGGAAGGAAATATTAAATTCTGGAGTTTATTACACTGACGCCGACATGTTCAAAACCCAGAGAAGTGTTAAGTGCAACGCAACATAAAATAAAATGTATTTTGCAGGAATAATTTGGTCTAATTCACCCACGAATCTATTACTAATATTGTATTTGTCACGTT